GGAGCAGTCATAATATGAAAAAAAATAGATGTTAATTAAATTGAACTGAACTTTTTTTATTTGAGAGTTTTGTGAAAATCATCCCCCCAAACGCCATATAAAGTACAAACTGATAGATTGGGAACGATTTTTGAGACGGATAAAAATCCTAGATCCGCCCTTGTTACAGATGATATCAAAAAATGGGGTCAAATTTAAATTGACTCGTTAAGAGAAAAAAATCACCCTCAATTATTCCATCATTTTCTTCGAAAGTCGGAGCAACATTTTGAGTTTCGAAGCTGAAATTGTACTAAAATCACTTCGAAACTCTTAAAGAGTACGTATTATTAGCAAGACAAAAGTACAGAGCTGGCATTTGAGCAGCTCAATTTTTCCCGGCGTTTAAAAGCTTAAAATGCAGTAGAAAAAGTAGTTTTTTTTTCAGTTATTCTCAATGTTGTTATCCTAGATAGCAACTAAAACGTTAACACAACTTCACTGGTCTAGATTGCATCCTATTGTGTTGTTATGTTACCATGGTAAGAATTGAGTCCAATTGAACTCCACTTGCTTTAAAAGAAAACAATACTTTTTTCGTTTCCTGCAATTAAATGACACTAATTAGCATCTCAGAATTTAGTTGAATCTTCATTTGAGAGCATCGAACTTGAATTTTTGCACCAATGAATGTTTTGTTTGCAAAAGCAAAAAAATAAGACCTCTTTTGCGAAGAAAATAAACAGCTGAGTTTTGAGCAAATAAGCTATTGCAGACAATATGAAAACAACTACTTTGAATTGAAAGCAAGTTCACAAAAAGTTGCGTACCTGACCTTCTGAGCTAAATGAACACACGTTTTTTCATTTTGTTCATCAAAACTAGATCCGATATATTTCAGGCGAGTGCGCCTTTTAAATAAGGAAAGCATCTGGTTTTCTGCAGAAAAGAATCCATACCGCAGTAACAAAGGCAGAACATTTTTTGAATTTTTTAAATGAAAACTCCGGGGACTTCGAGGAAAAAATAGTTCTTAAAATTGAATGTCATTTTTTTAAACAAATTACGCCGTTCTTAACGTTTCCATTGTAGCTCAAAGTATTATCAACAATTCAAGCCGATCACTTCAAAAACGCTTCAAACAGTGATCCTACTGATTTGGATGGGGTTCTTTTCAAGTTATTTAACTGCTCATTTCAATTAAAAGAATTATGCGGGAAAAACAAACTTGTGGTTATCGACTAAAAAATAATTCAATTTTCACATTGATGCTTAATACAAAAAATCACCAGAATGAATGTTTTTAGGCTAAATTTTTGCAATTTTAGTTACATTGAACCACCCACAAGGAATCGCTCCATTAAAAAAATTAATCCAAGTTTTTTTCGAAGTGATCAGTTACAGAATCAACTATGTTTCCATGATTCACTTTTGGTGCAACACAAACAAAAAACATAGGCCGACAAAAATTTAAAATGTTGAACCAAACTAGGTGAACCAAAACTTTTTGCATGTCGCGATGAAAAAAACAATTAGAGACCCAGCTAAGGCTGGATAAACGTGTTTGATTTTGTTTGAAATTGTAATACTGATGTGGGATGAAATGATTAATTCCAAAAATTAGACTTCGCCTAAAATCTTAGTTGTTTCTCTAAAGTAAGTAGGAAGAGTGAAAACTTTAAGATAAAGAATTTTTCCCAAAGACATAACACTTTTCTTACCAAAAATTAAACCGTCGCCGCTTCTGCAGGAAAAATTCTCGCAACCGGTTCTTTCAATTGAAATTTTTATCTCAAATTTTAGCCTGTAGTTTTTAAAAACATCCAAAAAATTTCTAAAAAAACTGTCAAAAATCAACAACTTGGCCAAAGCTAATTATAAATGTAGGCTTTCAACAACCTGTTTTTTTGATTAAACCTATAATATCAGATTTTGCAAAAGAAAAGTCCAAAAAATGGTCAACAAATAATAGGTCAAATAGTTATACCTTTTGGTGTAACAAAAATAAGGCGTAGCCGCTTAAGCAGAAGAGATTCACGCAGCCTCTATTTTTGATTGAACCCAAAACCTCAGATTTAGAGAGGCAGTTCTCGAGAAAAAAATGTGACGTTTGCGAAGGCCATAAGTTATTGTTTGAAAAACGTTTGGGCGTATTTGCAGATGCAATAGCGTTCACCACAACCTGTTTATTGAATTGAACCCAAATCTCAGAAATGAGAGGGTCATTTTCAACGAACGTCAACAAGATTCCAAAATTTGTTAAGATAAAGCAAGATGAAAATTTGTAAGAAAAAATGTTTACGGGAACAAAGTCTAGTTCCCGATTACAAGACATAAAATTCAGGTAACCAGATTTATTTGAAACAACTTCAAAAGCCTCTGCAAAACTTTAACATATCTTCCCACAGTTTTACACAGAGGCGAAGTTTCACTTCGCATACGCAAGCAAAAATATGACCAATAACGCTACGACGCATTAGCCGCAACAGTCATTTTGAAAAGAAAAAATTATCAATTGCACATGCCTTAATTTATAGAGCCGACGCATTTAGCTAGTATACGAAAAAGTTCATAAAAAACATTGGACGCTGCCAGGGTTCGACCCTCTTATTTTGTTGCGGGTCTCCTCCCTACCTCTACGCTACAGACCCATGATATTTTGAAGCTAAAGTTCTAATTGTTATACAAACTACCCGTATCAGGGCGAAGCCCTGAAAGTTCTGACTGCCTTTTAAGGTCTATGGAGCAGTCATAATATGAAAAAAATAGATGTTAATTAAATTGAACTGAACTTTTTTTATTTGAGAGTTTTGTGAAAATCATCCCCCCAAACGCCATATAAAGTACAAACTGATAGATTGGGAACGATTTTTAAGACGGATTGAATCTACTCTTAGGCGTTTAATTGTTCCAAATTGGACAAAATAGCAATTTTTAAAACCCCATAACTTTACGAAAAATGATCACAGGTGAAATATCTTCTCAAATTTATGCCCAGGACGACAATATCTTTTTAAAATAATATTTGAAAAATCCGTCAGAAATGGCTAGTTAAAAAGTCGAGGTTTGTCTGAAGAAAAAAAACACCCCGAGCGTAATTATTCCGTTACTTTCATTACGAAAGTCGAAGAACAACACTGTTCGCATCAGGACGACGCCTGAACATTCCGAATGCCATTTAAGACTTATGGAGCAGTAAGAACATGAAAAGAATTAAATGTTAATTAAAAATAAAAAGAAATTTTTTTAGTTTGAGATTTTTGTCAAAATCATCCCCCCAAACGTCATATAAAGTGTAAAGTGATAAATTTAACTCCTAGTAAAAATCAATTATGGCAAATAAGCTTCCTTCAACCAATTTGGAACAATTTCTAAAATGGATTTAATGTCCGCTTACGCGTTAATAGCGCGAAAGATATCGCGCAATGATTTTCCCAAATTGACCAACGTAGCAATTTTTAAACCCCCATCACTTTACGAAAAATAATCACAGGTGAAATATCTTTTCAAACTTATGCTCAGGACGACAATACCTTTTGAATGAGATATAAAAATTCCGTCAAAAAAGGCAAGTTAAAAAGTCGAAACTTCTCTGAAGAAAAAAACCACACCGAGCACAATTATTCCGTTACTTTCGTTACGAAATTCGGAACAATATTAGTCGGTGTTAATATTCTAAGCATTGGCTGTACTTAATAGCTGGTTATTGATAAAAACGAAAATTTTCAAAATGAACACATTTTATCGCAACAATATAAGCGTCGCAACAATATTTGCGACTTAGGTTGGGAAAAAAATAGTTCATACTATAACACAAGCTATGCTTGTGTTATCATTCTTTTAAAGGAGAATAAGTAGTATTTAAAGCTTAACTTCATTTTCTTACTTATTAGCTAAGATAATTACTTAATGGTGCTCGAGTTATAGCTGGTAAAAATATTAACTCAATACAAAAGAAATGCCATAACTTTCCCTTCTATAAATTGATGTCGCTGAATCTATATATTTAAGTTCAAGCCGATAATGGAATTGAAACAAAATGTTTCATTTACCAGCATACATCTTTTTAGGAGAACTGAGCAGATTTGAAGTAACCCCATCCCATTCAGGACCGTCAATTTTGCGAATGAAAAAAAAAATTATGCATGGTTTGAGCAAACTCATCAATTTTTATAATTTTTAAACACTCATTTTATATTTAATTCAAAAACTTCTTTTGCAATATTGACGAATCGAACGCTTATTTTATCAATTAGCCCGTATTATTTAATATTTATCTTTTTTCGGCTCTTGGACTCTTTGTGTTCTCAGACCACTTTGTGCTCTGAGGAAAATAAAAACTTGGGTTGAAATTCTGGGAGGAAACTAGAGATTGATGCTGATAATTTTCTATTTCGAAGCATATGCGCTAGCACTCTCCGATTTTTACTTTGAGTTTACGTAATGTACTCGTCTATATCAATGATACTTAAAGCGTAAATTATAGTTCAATCAAAATTTTCTTGGTCCAAATTATTGGAGAACAATTAAAGGGCATTTGGAGCTGTTACGGCTTTACCCTGATATAGCAGTCAATGATTGCTGCGTTTTCATACTGCAAAACATTTTCTTTTAAATTAAACTTCAACTCTTCTAGAAATGTTAACAAGGAAAAGAATTGCTCTAAAAAAAACTTTTAACCTTTTTCTCAAATATACTTTTTCCTATTACTTTGTTTTCTTTTATATGTTGATTTATTAGCAGTTCTTAAAACAACAACGATAAGTCTCTTTTCCAATAACTTTATTTAGGTTTGTGGCTTGCAAACCACTTTGAAATTACATCGCAATGGCTTCTCAATTGCATAAAAGCATATTTAATATGAAGATGATCATAGAACAAGATTCAAAATGAATATCCTCAAGTTACATCGGTTGCTGAGCAGGTCCGTTCAGCTAGGAATAAGCGGCTGGGCTTAGCTGCAAGGAAACTAATCCTGTACAAATTCTTCATTTCGTTCTTGACTTTTGGACGTTGAAAAATTCATTTTCGGAAAAGTAAATTCTCTAATTCAATTCAAAAAACAAAATAATAGAAAACAAATTCTGTCAATTTTTCAAATTTATCTGATAATTTAAGAGCGCCAACTGAGGAGGTCAAACGTTTAATTATTTCATATTTTTTGAAGTATCAGTTGTTTTTAATGATGACGCAGTATTTTGTGTCTTGGTGCGCTGGTTGAATTGAGTCTGCAGTTTTTGTGCCACGTGGAAGTCCCTGTGTTCGATCAGAGTGAACATGGACACTCTCTCCCCACACAAACTGCACTGCATCACATCACACTCCCCCTCCACCCCCTCGAAGATCTCATCCGGAACAGACAACTGCTCCGAACACATCCTAGAAAACATGGGGACTACAGTAGAATCTTTCTAATTACAGAGAGAGAAAGAGCTTATTTATCCAAATAGTAATCATTAATACAACTCGAATTACCGAATAAGTTTCATTTCTAACTATTATCAAAAGTAATTTATGATTGGGAGGATGGAAAAAAAGCAATTCATTAGAGATAAGAAATAGTGATCAAACTATTTTTGCTTGGACCACTTTCTTCAATTCTACCCAATTAACAAAAAATTCGGAGTAAAAAAAATTAACACAGAGGCAAAACTGAGCTTCGCACCGCTTGCAATACAAAAACGAATGACTATGATTAAAATCAAATGAAAAAAAAACTTTGAAAAAACTTAAAAACAAGCAGACAGACAACTATCTTAGCTAGCGGAAATCAGTTTGCAAAAAAAAAACAGGTCTCGACTAGAATCGGGTGTGGATGTTACAGCAACTTGGAAGAAAACTGAATCTTGAAAAAAAGGCTAAAAAAAATCGAGTTGGTGAAATTGCAACTAACCTAAAAGGCAAACTTCGATTAGGCCAGGTATTTAAAATGCTACTATGCTCAAAAATTGTCTGTTGCAATACTAAGGCCCATATGAATGAGTCTGTGAGATGAGTCCAATGATCAAAATTTTTATGGGAAAGTCTTGTACCCGATTGCAATACCCTTGCCTATCGCCAGGGTAAAAAAAAAGAAAAAATATGTTTTGCAAGTAGTTAAATATGCTCGGAACACTAAGCTAATTGCACAGCATCAGGCTACTCTTTTTTTAAAGATAAAAATATTGTTTTGTATTAATTTTAAAGAAATGATATCGCCAATGTTTCTTGAAATTCTTGGCCGTCAGGTGTAACAATTTACCTGGAAAACATGGACGAGATTGAGCGTGACGAATCAGCAACTCTGTCACTGGGCAAAACAGTTTCATTAATCGACGACTTTAAGTGATTCTGGGAACAACTCTTTTCTCCCCGTTTAATTTTCGATGCAGACTTCGTAAGTCGCCTTTGGGTCGAACTCACTTCACCAGAAGCCTTTCTCGTCTTTTTCGATGCCGAGTTAGTTTGGGTGGAAGAAAAAACAAGAGCTGCCTGCTTCAACCCTTTCGGTCTTTTCTGGTCACTCAGCGACAACTGGTTTCCTTTTCTTTTCGCCGATTTTCTTTTCGCTGTGGGCGTTTTCAATTTGCCTGAAAGTAGTCCATTTGCATGCGTTTCCGATATATCATTCGAACCGCCAGGATACTTATTTAAATGTAGTTGGTCTTCCGTGTTTGATTTGGAAGTCGCGGGCTCTGATAGACACATTTTTTCACAACTAACCCGGTTTGAACTTATTTGAGGTGATTGAAAATTCATAGTCGAGTCACGAGAAGATTCTGAGTCTTCGAACAGAAGTTTGAACAGATTTTCTAAATCATTTTGCCCTTGCTGTTCCAGAACACTACCCGCCAGACAACTGCCACCAGATTCATTTGAAACCAGTTCATTTTGGGCCTGATAAGTTGTCTGTGATATGTTGAAATCTTTCAAAAGGCTGCAATTTGATCTATTAATTGGCGTACATGACATAATGTTGCTATCTAATAAATAATCAGTGTCAAAATTACGCAAGTGTTTCAACTTTTTGAAAGATGATTTCGAATTCAGTTTCTCTTCCGAAAACGATCGAATCATTTCGGGTGGTGACTCGGGAACTAAAATTTCCGATTCAGTTTCCTCTTCGAATCCCTTGGAAGTTAAATCAGCTCCACCGAACAGAAAGCTTTCAGAATCACATGGCTCATCAGTTTCGAAGTGAGGACTTTTGTGAGGAATTTCTTCACTGCTTAAATTAACGCTTCCAAGCGTTGAAAGCGCCGCCATTTTTGTCTGATTATAATCATTTTCCTCCGATTTATTTTGATTATTAGCACGACTTAGTTTGCTCTTACAAGTCGAATGTTTTAGTTTCTGTACTCGTTTACTATCTAGAAAAATATCGAGCGCAGACTTTTTCGGTTTCTTAATTTTGGTTTCTTTAACTTCATCTTTGCCTGTCTTTGTGAACTTGATTTGACTTCGGTCGTTTGAAATGTTGAAGAAGTTTGTTATGCTAGAATTAGCAGATGTCGCACATTCGGCCTTGGAAGCGTATGTTCCTAAATGAATGATGGGATCCGGGTATCTGTCTTCTTTAGAGGCCAGTTTAAATGGCAATGAGCCCAAAATGATTTTCATTACTTCTGTTTGCATCGAGTTAGTGTCATAACTTGTGATTGGACACCGTTTACTAACCTGACCCCGGCCTTTGATAGAATAATTAACAGTTAATAACTTGAAGACTCTTTGATTTAAGTCCATATCTTCATTCAAACGTTCTTCCAATTCTGAACAAAGTTGAAGAGTCCAGTGGTTAACTTCTTTCGAGGTCCAAATTGACTCTTTTCCCAGAAAATTCTTTGAACATCCAATTGACTGAACAGTTGTTCGTGGTTTAACCGGTTCATAGTTGATACCTCTGCATATATTATGCAGAAAGAGACCATTCCTCTCTCCAAATTTGGAAGTCAAAACTGATTCGGAATACCTGAGTAAGTCCCCGACATTTGTGCATCCTAATTCTTCTTCCACTATATCTCCCAGTTTGCCTCCTAGATATCTCAACTTGTGCACTGGAAGTGTTGCGAAGAAAGACTCCACTGATACCTGAGGCAAGATAGTCTGTTTATTCGGTTTGTTGATTCCGCAGGCCAATTTGGCAAGGATTTTGTTATGTGCAATACCAGCCGAGCATCGAAACTCAGTACGTTCATAGACCGCGAGTCGTATTTCTTCAACAATTTGAGCTCCGATTAGTAAACGAAGTTCGCAGTTCGACGAAATGTTGCGGGAGTTCACGAGTTCTAAAAACGGAATTAAATTCTTCTGTCGGTCATTTGAAATTTCACTTGGATTTAAACCTTCTTCGTTTAGTGGATAAACTACACAAGTGTTTGGCAAAGTTTCAATGGGAACTTCGATCGGAGATTGCATTTCGGATATTCGCTTGTCTACGAGAGAAGTCAAGTCTAGGAAGGCCTCATCAACTGATGCTCTTTCTACATGCTGACATTTGGCGGTCAGCACTTGGAACACTTCACTACTCGCCTGCAACAAACAAAATGACTTTTTTTTCCATTTCTCGAATAACTCAACTTCAATCAAACTTCATGCATCCTTTTCCATTACTGTTTCACAAAATTTTTTTTTCAAAATTGATAAACTTCTAAATTATTTTAAGCTTTCAACGAAAAAAAAAGAGAAGACAAAGCAAGACCAGATGTTTACTTATTTATGTCCTTACTTATGTCAAAACGAGGTTCATTCAAACGTTTTATTCTGATGAAAAAACTATTCTTGTGAAAAAATAAACGAATTTTTGTACTGATTTAACAAATTTTGAAGTATCGCAAGGTCAGCAACAGCTGTCGTAACGCCAAGTTAAGTGAAAGGAAAGTGCACGAAGAACTAATCTGCAATCATGTCTTGTCTTCTCACCTGTCTGTATTTGGTGAGGTCTGCCTTGCCTCTGCTCTCTTTCACAAACACAGTCTGCAATTCACTACACACTCCCTTTGCATCATCCCCCATCATACCACGCTTCACTCCTAACACACACTCACGATTATCATCAGCAACAGCCTTCTAAACGAGTACTGGTCATCACCAAATTAAAGTAACCAATCTTTAGAAAACGGAGAGCAGTGGGTCAGCCTATTCTATACAATTCTTTACCGAGACAAACAAAGCGCTACCCCAGAAGAGAATGACGATCATAAGCTGAGTGGTAAAAATTTTGCATGCCCCAAGAACGAAATTTTTTTTTAACAACTGCAGATAAATATGGACGAAAACATTCACATAATAGATGAGGTCGGAATAATGTGAGCTTATTTTACAGCAAACTCCTCATCTTCTCTTTAAACTTGCTATGGCAAAATAGGATCATAAGCTTGTTTGCAATTTTGTCATGGTTTAGTCAATCTAATTTTATCGATTTTGTCAATCCATTTCTATTCTTAAGATGGTTACTTTTCAAGCGCTAAAAACTAGATCACGACGTATCATCACGTGAAAATCAACTCAATTGTATTAATTTTGCATAACAAAAGCATGAGGAAGCTCATCAATTGAAATAACGCTGAGCTGTATGGAAGCTAATTGAGCCTTTGAAGCTTATCTACCTCTTGCGCGTGCCTCATAGTTGATGGCAATCAGTCCCCCACCCCTGTAAGGTTTGTACTGGACGACGGCACAAGGCGTGCCCCGGAGGGAGGGGTTGTCTCTCTCCTCCACCTGCACGTAGAAACAGTCCATGTCCACCAGCGCCACCACCCGGTTCCAACACCCACTCCCTCCTCCCCCGCTGACTCGGGAAGACGATGACGACATGAGCTGGGCGTCCATCGTCATATCAATGCATTCAAATCACATCACTATAAACTGAAGAAAAAAAGACACAGTGGTTCGGCTTTCAGACCCAACCTAATGTGGTTATTTTGGAGAAAATTTGAGAAGGACTACGAACAAATGAACAAGTGCACATGGAGAATTGCTTGCGATTGCACAATGAATGACTGTAGAAGTAAAACTTCACTATAGAACGAAAAACTGACAGGGGGAAACCCCTTGTGCAACGAGCACAAAAGCCCTACTACTACTACTACTACGCAAATTTCTTGATGTTTTATTCAAACTTCAGAAAGAACACCGAAACGTTTAAACTGTTCAGCAAGACCTTAATTGAACCGAAAGTAGAAAAAATTCATCTACAGTCCCATCAATAAAAACGAAGTTTTTTTTTTTACCAGACCAGTTTTTTCAACAAGATTATTTGCACACTCTGGGAACAACGAAAACTCCAAACTTATTGCTGCCAAACTTGAAGGAGATATCAAGGGAGCTGTCAGGTTGGCAGCCAGCGACAATACTTTCTTGCCACCGACTCTTGAGAACAAAACATTGCTCGACGCGCCCTCCTGCACCCGCAGACAAAGCTACACCCCCATCTAACGACCAGGCATTTCAGTAACGACTGTGTTCAACTTCAAGTTAGTCAGTCAGAAGTCAGGAGAGCGGTCATGTTTTTTAACGCAGGTAGTGCTGGTGGACCGACGGGCCTCAGACCACAACACGTGAAAGACGCACTTTCACCATCTGCTAACGAAGCTGGCAACAACCTGCTCTTGTTGTTGTTGTTGTTGTTGGGGATTCACAGCACTGCTGTTGGGAGTCTTGGTCCCGGCGTCTTCTCTAAAACAATGTCCACTTGTTTCTGCACGTGATACAATCACAGAATAATTGCCACGTGCACGTTGTCATTTCTGAAAATCTCTCGTTTACAAATTTCCACATCGTGTTTAAAATTCTCGTCTTGAGGCCGATTCGTTTATCAAAATGAATATATGGTTCTAATCGATTTACAATCCTACTGGTTCTGAAAACAAATTCGTTTCTCGCTTTTTCCGTTCTCACTTTTCGCATCTCAAAAATTTCTATATTTCTAGCCCGTGTGGTTCGCCTGTTTAACACTATTTCATTTCGTTCATTAGAATCAAGACTGGCAAGAAGTAAGATGTTATTTAGCTGGATGAACATGGGCAGGGGTAAAATGTTTAGCAAGCGTAGTTCGTTGATGTACACTCCCGTTTTATTTCCAGTGATCCACCGGATTGCTTTCTTTTGAAATCGCTCCAACTGCAATTGATCCCCCCTCGATATATGTGTACATGAGAGTCCGTATAATAACACTGGGAGTATTAGTGACTTATACAGGCCTAACTTTACAAACGTATTTATCTTTGCTGATAGGTTTCTTCTCAGGAGGTACAGTACTTGGTTTGCCTTCTTTAATCTTGTTTCAATGTGTACCTTCCAACTTAAATCGCCCGACACAAAAATTCCCAGATCTTTCACAACCTTCGATGTTCCAAGCACTACACCAAAAAGCATAGAGTTGGCGTCTCCGCCCCTAAAACTTACTTTTGCACATTTATCTAGTGCTAATTCCATTTTGTTTTCAGTTACCCACTGCTGAATTTTGTCCAGATCTTCTTGAATTTCAATTGATGTTTTTTTGATGGAAAGTAGTTTAAGATCATCCGCAAAAATATATGGTTCAGAGAATTTGAGTACTTCAGGTAGGTCGTTAATAAAAATGCAAAAGAGCAGTGGTCCTAAAAGTGATCCTTGGGGAACACCACTAGTGACTTCTAAAACTTTTGAGCTGATATTGTCTACTCGTACAAACTGTTTCCTGTTTTTCAAATAGTCATAGAGTACCTCTAACATGCAGCCTCCTATTCCTATAAGTGCAACTTTCTTGAGTAGATCAAAATGCGGAACTTTATCAAAGGCTTTTGCAAAGTCAGTGTAGACTGCTACAATTTCTGCGTTTGAGTCATTGTCAAGCGCTTCATATATTTCTTTCAGGAAGGAGAGCATGTTTGTCAAAACTGATCTACCTTTAGTAAAACCGTGTTGATGTTTCGTCAAATACCAGGCAAAGTAAGGGTACAGGTCTTTGTATATACATTTTTCAAGGACTTTGCTGTCAATATTTAATAGCGATACTGGTCGATAGTTGTTCACCAATTTTCGGTCACCTTTTTTGTGAACAGGAGTAACTGCAGCTGTTTTCCATGAGTCAGGTATTTTTCGTAGGCGTTTTACGTTTCTCAAAATTTTGTTCATCGGTTTGCATATATTGCGGTTCGTTTTCTGAAAAAAGCTAGGTGGCAACCCATTTGGGCCGCGTGACTTTGTTACGTCCAGAGTTGATAAAATCTCACTTACTGTCTTTTTCGATATATCAAAATTCGTTAACAAGGGATTTCCAAATTGAATATCTCTAATACTAAAACTTTCTTTAGGATTAAAAACTGAATGAAAGAAGTCGTTTAGCATGTTGACTTGTTCGTTTGGATTTGTGCTTTCAACTTCATCTTTTATGAGTAACTTAGGAAGACTTGTATGTTTATTCAAGTTCTTTAGGTGTTTAAAAATTACATTAGTGTTCCGTGTTCTAAACAATTCCTCTTGGTAGTTTTTCCTGTCCACTTCCGATGATTCAGTTACTAAATTTTCAAACAGTTTAACTTGTTGTCTTCTGTAGTTGGTCGGTTTGAGTATACATGATTGCCGTTTTGTTTGTAACTTTTTGATCAAATTTGAAGTGCTACTTGTTATCCAAGGTGGAAGTGATTGCCTATGTCTTGTTCTGAGAGGCACAAAACTCTTAATGATTTCATCCAAATATTGGGTGTACTCCTCATGCATTTTGTTAATGTTTGTGTGGCATACTGGTTCAAATGGGTTCTCGTTTATAAAATTGTTTATTCCTTCAAAATCGGCATTTCCAAAACTTCTAAAATTTTCCAAGTATGGTTTCGGCTCTGATACCGTGCATTCAATAGACAACATTATGGCATTGTGATCTGAGCAGTCATAAATCTTGGAAACGTTAAAATCTTGTTCGGCACTTGTATAGCAATTCCGATAGAAGGCTACGTCTAGTATGTTCTTCACACATGTTGGGAAATCTATCGCCTGCCTAAAGAGTCCATTTTCAAAAATTTGCAGTATTTGGTTTTCTTCCTCGTCAGTACTGGTGAGGGTGTTCCAGTTTGTTTCTGGGAAATTTAAATCCCCACATAAGAGAAACGGTTTGTTTTTAGGAATGGCTTTGATCAGTTGTTCAAATTCATGCACTTTGTATCTGTAATTACTGTTTTTTGGCGGATTGTAGAATGAGCCAATTATCATTTCAGTTTGATGAAGTTTTATACTACATAGCACACATGAATCAGGAATGTCATGTTTGGTGGATAAGTCCTCGGTAATTAGACTATTCTTGACAGCTATTAGGCTGCCTCCGTGACAGTTTTTACCACTCACAATAGCTCTATCAGATCTATAGATGTTATATTCACTTAGAAAAAGCTCTGATGATTGAATATTCTCGTTAAGCCAAGTTTCGCTTAAGCATATGACATTAAAATTTCCAACTGCAATTGCATTTGCTAGCTTAGTTCTTCTCTCTATGTTGATTAGGCTTCTAGTATTTAGTTGCAGAATGTTGAGGAATCCTAGTCAATGCTGGGGTTCCTGAACTTCAGTGTCAATAGTTACTTTCACACCATCATTGAACAATTCTAGATTCCTTATTTTCAGCTTTTCGCGAGGAACGCCTTCATCTAGTAGTTGTCTTCGTTTCTTAAGGATTTCGTTCTCTTTAATTGCACTCTCTTTGGTCAATGCTGGTAGCAGGTAGACCTCTTTTTCGACCAATTGTTCTCGCTTTTCTCGGCTTTTTGCTAGTACTAGTCGTGCTTCATGTTCGCTAGGTACAGTTACCAGCAGTGTTCTTGGCTTCATTCGATTACGATCAAATTTTCCCAGTCGTTTTAGTTCTATTATTTTCGGCTTCACTCCAATTATGTCTAGTATTTCGTTTACTTCGTCATTTGTTGGGACAAGGTTTTCTCCTTTTGTTTTCTCAGGGTCCTCTTTGACCCCTTGTATCCTAAAACTTTGATTTATGTTGTGATCAGAGTTAGATCTGGCAGCATGTTGAGTGGTTTGAGCTTGATTTATACGGGTGGTGGTTTCAGCAGCTACAACGGCACTATAAGTTTTTTCCACTTTATCGCATGTCGTTTTCATTGCATTTCCAATTTTTTGATCTACTAAATCGGTAAGTCTTCTTTCCATGCTTTTAAGGCTTTCAGTTACATCAATGTTTGAGAGCTTCTCGTCTATGTTGGCCAGGGTTTTGCATCTTATAAAGTTGTCTCGTTCATTATTTTGCACACAAGTATTACAAAGCAACATGACATTCGGCCCTAGTTCTTTTATTCCATTTATGGCCACTAGAGACAACCCAACACAAGTTGGTTCCAAATGCATTTGAGCGTTGCATGCGACACATGTGTATGTTTTCTCGTTGCTGGCAAAGCCTCTTTTACATGTTTTGCAGTTTTTGCCCATTTTTGCTTATACTATGGATAGAAAAACAGTTAAGCCTGGTGGTTCCCGAAAATGGGAGGCCTGTGGCTCACTCAGGGGAAAAGAAGAAATAGACAAACCTGGTGGTTCCCGAAAAGGGGAGGCCTGCGGTTCACTATTTCTACTTACGTTAATAGGGGCACTGACAGTTTTTGAAACGACACTCGTAATATACCAGATGTCCTTCTGTATTGCAGATGTTCGAATGTTTATCGTATAAGATTTTATTCTTGAGAATACTTTTAATGCCCTTCAGACCTTCTTCACTGAGGTGCACTTCGTCAGTTTTCAAATGATATGAGCTGTGGATTTTTTCACTCACTCCTCTAAACTTCCAAGTTCCTTTTATCTTTCTTAGGAATTCGTTTACCGCACCAATTCGGGCCCCAGGTAGGGACAAGATATTGAAATTTGGAAAATCAAGATGGCGTGCTTGAGAATCCGCAATCAGGAGATTTTTTGAAGATGATGTCTTGAGCAAGTGATATCTTCTGTCGGACAATTTCATCGCGGGGCAACCATTGCTACCCCGGTAAACATTTCAACTATCTGAAACTATTTATCTGACAGACTACACAAATTTATTGTTGACAGGCAACATCCCTGCGTTGATCAAGCCTGTCGTCTCCAGTGCTACACTCATCACTTTGGCCAAGAAATGTGGAG